TATATATATATATATACACACACACACACACACATACATATATACACACACACACACTTTGACCAATGACAGCTTCCTATTCTCCTACAGCAGCGATTAGTCCCTACTACTGCACTGAATGGCACTCACATACATATGCAATGGGCACCATTAAGCGCAGTAAAACTGAGTCCAGGCACCATAATGATGCCACCAGAGAAGGAGTGTCCATGACAATTTGGCCTCAAAGGAAGTGAGTTGAATGACACTGACAGTCATTCAACCTATTAGACTGGTGACACCTTGTGGAGGAAAAGAAGTACTACAGGAGACAGCTAGTGAGTAAACACTATTGTAGCAAAAATATCCCAGGTCACGTACCCCCGGGTTCCAAAATAACTCCGCAAACACCACCAAGTCAGCCGATGACAGAGTCAGCCCCATGTTGGCAGCCGTAATGGATAAAACGGCAACGTTGATCTTGTCCGAGAGCTGAAACTTCTGGCAGTGTGACTGGCGGTCGGCCGATGAGGTGTTTCCATCAATACGAATAAACCCCACACCCTGTAAGAGGAGAAATATAGGAGATTTTTAAACAGGGTTCAGCAAAACTGTAAATCCAGATCGGTCACTACGGCCTACTGCACTATGCTGCTAAATTCCCCAGGAGATAGCCATCTGCAGATTTGGCCTGTCAGACTCCACTTATAAAAATGATCCTTTTATTCCGGCAGAACCTAAATATGACATCAGCTTCTCGCAGTCTCTAGTACAGCAGAGCCCAGAGTGGGGGAGGGAGAAGTAGCACATGGAGCCAATCAGTTGTGCTGCAGCCCTAGTGACCTAACAAAGAACATGCTGATAGAAGGTGAGAGAAGAGTGAGCGACAGATGAGCTGCTGTTTTTTTCACGGTCCAGTTACAAGTAGAAGGAGGGACATGACTTGTAAGTGGTACTGAACTACAGCAGAGAAAAACCAGGTCAGACAAGGCTGTGCTGGATGGACAGAAATGCAAATCCTTTGGCAGGTACAACCGCACTTGTACGTCTCTCCAATCGGCCGCATGAGACCGAGGTCCATAAAAATCCAACTTCACTGTTGCATGGACCTCGGTCTGGCGCGGCTGATTGGAGAGATATTGTATGACAGTTGGAAGCACACTGCAGCCTGCACCCGATGTCTATATTGATCTGCAGTCTGGTGGAACTGGAGGGATGAGTCTTTTGCTTTTTTGTACCTACCCTGTTTCCCCAAAAATAGGACCAACCCCGAAGATAAGACTTAGTACTTTTTTGGGGAATTGCTAAAATATAAGACCTACTCCGAAAATAAGACCTAGTTGTGACCATTCCCAGGGCCGGTGGTGGCATAAGGGGAAACTTGAAGAGCCGCGGGAGAGGCGGGAGAGAATCAGCGGTGCCAACGAAGCCAGCGCTAGAGGAAGCGAGGCGGCAGCGGAGGGAGCAGAGCCGCATAAGCCGATGCCTCCTCTACAGCGCCGACTCCTGTCACAGGCGGAGTGATACCAAATGCACTCCGCCTGTGAGGAATCGATAGTGAAAGTGCGCTTTGCTCATTCTGGACAGCGATTGGTTAGCAAATTGCTCTTGGAAAGGTACGGCACCCCTGATCACCATATTTTTGTACCTGACTACATGTAGACTGTTGTAAATGAATAAGTGCGGATTGTTCTACATTAAAAAAAAAAAATAAGACCTACCCCGAAAATAAGACCGAGTGTGTTTTTTTGAGCCAAAGAAAATATAAGACAGTGTCTTATTTTCGGGGAAACACGGTATATATGTATTTCATCTCTACAGCTTTACAGCCAGTGCAGCCCCACACAATATAAATGGGGATCTTCAATTGTTACCTTTTTCCCCAGCTCTTCACAAACACTGTCCAAGACCAGCTTGTGGTGCGCGAACACCAAGAACTTTTCTCTCCCACTTTCTAGAAGATCCATGATGTATTCTCTGAAAAGACACAATGAAAGTGTCATGATTGTGACAGAAATCCTCCTTTGAGTCGACAAATGATAACTGGGGACCAGTCAGATGCTAGCTTATTAAAACATTCGGGGTCCCCAGCAGGGCACATAGCTCATTTGTTTCTATGATAATTAAAAGAGAACTATGTGGTAACCTTTGCATCCCATAGTTCTCTTTAGGATCACAGGAGGACATATACTAATGTCCTCCCGTGTCCCAAAGCTTAGTATATAGCTCGCGATATACTGGGAGCGCCACAGACAGGACGAATAATACTGTCGAGATCCACCCAGCTGGCTGATTGACAGCTGGCTCTGCCTATCTAGAGGCAGAGCCAGCTTTTCCCACCCCCTCCCCCGTCCGACCCTGCCAGTCAGCGCTGGAGGATTGGAGAGGGGGATCCCTGCGGGGAGCGGTGACTGACATTCGCCACTCTCTGCAAGGAGATGATTGGGAACTGTGTGAGCGACGGTATGTGTTCTCGCACTCCCCAATCAATAGAGCCGACGTGTGACAGTTTCAAACGTCACACATCGGCTCTAACTAAGTGTATATCACTCACCTCACAGTTCTTTGTTAAAGGAGAACTATGGGGTCATGGCTTTTTCCCATAGTTCTCCTTAGGTTAACGGGAGGACACAAACTAGCGTTCTGGGGGGTGACAGTTGGCTCTGCCTATCTAGAGGCAGAGCCAGCTGTACCCGCCCCCTCCCCGTCGGTTCCGCCAGTCAGCGCTGGAGGATCGGAGCGTGGAGGGGGGAATCCAGCCCCTCCCCTGTCACGGCAGAGAGCTGTGACCGGATCGAGAGGTGAGCGGACGCCGGTATGTGTTCGCTCACCTCCCGATCTACTGAGCCGACCTGTGACAGTCTCATTGTCATCGGTCGGCTAGAACTTTGAGAATGAGTGAAAAATCACTCACCTCATAGTTCTCCTTTAAGTAAGCATTCAACATATCCGATTCGCTAAGCCCAAAGTCACTTGCAGGCTAGCCCTGCAATGTTCAGTCGGGTCTGGATGATGCACAATCCAAAAACCAAGCTGGGGACAACCACACTGGATGGATGCAGATCACAGAAGAAACCTCCAGCAGGGATGTGAAAGAGTCGTAATTGAAGAAACAAAGCCACTTGAAAAGAACTGAATAGCTGCCACAGGAAAGTGCAAACACTTGTTATTTAAAAGCTTATCTACAGGACATCCCGTGTCTTCCATGTCATTCATAAAACAGCCAGCATGGAAGGAATCAATGTCACCACCTTTCAGCACCCAGTTTGCATATTTAAATGTTATGTTCAGTCCCCACAACTAAATCTACAGCCACGTGTGCGCTGGGAAGACTCCGACGTTGGCGACGTTACTCACATAACACAGCGGATTTTGGCTTCTGCAGTCCTGTTGTAGAATTGGAGGAGCGCTTCTTTCTCTTGTACTTTCTGCAGGTGACAAAAGAAGTATAAAAAAAGCTCAAAGTCTTATTCACTAAAATACATGTACAGCAAGTCCGCTTACTACTTCCCAACCTTCAAGTTGCAAACTTTTAAAGATGCGAATGTGCGTTCGCATGTCCGATCACGGAAGTCTTGCGTACATTGTCACGTGCGTCTGCTACAAGTGGCTGTGCTTTTGTGTACTTTATTATACAGTTTTAGGTCGAGCTCGATGGACTTTGCTCTTTTTTCAACCTGACTATGTAAGTACTGTACAGAGTACCGTATCTAGCCCAGGATGTCCGGAAGCAAGCCTAAGGGCCCGTTCACACCAGATGCAGTGCGTTCCAGCTCGATTCTAGCTGGAACGCACTGCCTCACATTGCGGCCGGCTCACTTTTTTCTGGGGCAGGAGGGACCGTAGCGGGTCATTGAAGTGAATGGCACCGTAGCCACGCCCTCCGGCCGCACGGGATTGCAAGGCACATTATGCCTGCAGTCCGGCGCGATCAAGATGCTGCAAGCACTATTTTGATCGCAACGGACCGCAGGCATAATGTGCCTTGCGAATTCACGTTATGCTTTTTCATAGGATCAGAAGAAAAACCAGTTGGTCTACAAATCCCATGAGGCATTGCAAGATTCTCACAGCCACGACTCCCGAAGAGAGATGCATCATGGGATTTGTAGTTTCACCACAGCTGGAGGTCCGGAGGTTTGCTACCCCTGCCTTTAAGGCTTCATTCACACGAGAAAAGGCCGGCAGGTACAGCTCCGTGCAACGCCGTATCGGGCAGCTCCCGGGAAGGACAGGTGCTGCGTGTGATTAGAACGCAGCCTCTCTCCTTCTCTATGGGAGTACGCGGCCATATGCCGCCCTAAACTCACCCGCCCTGCATGTCCACGAGGGTGCGGGTGTCCGTACTCGTACGCTGACAGTATGGATCCTGTCTTCGTCTGAGCCGGGACACCCGCACCTGTACGGACCTGCACTTTAGGTGAGTGTAGGGCGGCATATGGCTGCGTAGTCCCATAGAGAAGGACAGGGGCTGCGTACTAATCACACGCACAGCACCTGTCCTTCCCGGGAGCTGCCCGATATGGCCGTGCACGCAGCATGGAGCTGTACCTGCCGGCCTTTTCTCGTGTGAATGAAGCCTTAAAGTGGTCTTGACAAACTACTAATTCTTTTGATGGCCAAAGATTTGGCCTTAGCCGGGTTTGTCTTGATCTACAGCGCTATAGGGCCTGAGCATGTAAGGACTGTGCCTTGTATGCATTCCAAGGCTTAAAGCCCCACTGAACTTTCAGTTTAAATACATTTCAGGTCCATCAAAACAACGGTGCGAAAAGCCTTACAGTTCTTTTCTTTAGGAAGCAGCCACAGCCTGAGTAGAATAGACTGTCCCCTGCCAGCATGGCCCTTGCCCTGTTATTCAGTGCCCACCTTGCTGGAGCTACAGACAGGGAAGGGAATGGTTGGCTCGGGTTGAGCCAGCTGCCAGTTAGGCAGCCGGATGGATATCAACAATATTTTTGGATCCTTTTCGACTGCAGAGTTGTTCTGCGCTGTCAGCTGATAGCAGGCATAAGCCCGTTTTTTATTTGAGTGGGGGATAGCTATCAGTGCCTCCACTGGAGATTATTCCTCACTTCCTGTCTGGGTGACAATGTTGAACTCAGGACAGGAAGTGAGGGTCAATCTCCCCAAAGAGCCTCAGACAGCAAGAAAGTCTTTCAGAGGTCATTACTCCTCCCTACTCCACCTCCTCTCTGTTCCTGGAAACCTGTAGGCTGCTATTGCTGAAAATGCTATTTGCCTGGCTGTCTAGCGTCAATACTGTCAGACTCACCCACACAAGCAACAAGTCAGGTTGCTTGTGTGGGTGAGTCTGACCCTCACTTCCTGTTTTGTCACCCCGACAGGAAGTGAGGAATAATCTCTAGTGGAGGCACAGAGTGCAGCCAGAACACCCAATCTGCATATTTATTCTAGGTCAGAGACTCACAGTATTGAAGCTAGAGGGCCACCATAATGGCCAGGCTACCAGCACCCGCCATAGTTTAGCCAGTACAGGTTTCTCTTCAACTTACACTCTTGAAGCCTTGCGCCATCTCCTTAGCCGCTGCCGCCAGCACAGCCTTGGTCTTGGCGTTGATGCCTTCGGGAGCGATGACCACCATCTTGCGCTGTTTGGAGGGCAGCTGGGACAGAACTTCAGACTTCAGCCTTCTGATCATTATGGACTCCTCCAGCAGCAGCTTCAGCTCGCCCAGGTTGCAGGATCCCGAGTAATCCCACCCCCACGGCATCTGAAAAACGAAGAGCATTAGATTCCTAAGAACAAGTGCTGGAAGTACAAACTATGCCGTATGATTGGCTCTCACCTGTTTGGCATCGCAGTAGCGGTGACCAAAGTCATGGAAGCGCGGAAAGAAGTTGGGTCTGACAGCTGCGATCTGCGTGTACAGTTCTGCAGGTCTGGACATGGCGGGAGTGCCGGACAGTAAGAGGACTCTCTTCGCGCTCTACAGACAGAAGAAAGGATTCATGAAATGCACCAATAGTCCAGCACAGCATCCCAGTGTGATTAAAGTAATCATCCAGGTTCACCATCTACTTCCTGGACTCAGCTTCCGGCTCAGAGATGGCACAGTCATATAAATCCCGGCTGAGGAAATGCTTCCTCCTGCTTCCTCCTGCCTGCAGCAGACTGATCACTGGGGGAGGGAAGACTGAGGAAATGCTTTCCCACTGCACACTGCATGTAACAAACTGATGAAATCTCAGCCCAGGCAAAGTCACTGGACTGGAGCTTATGGACGGCTTTTTAAAGATAAAAGATGGAACCTTTGTGAAAAATGATACTGTTGCTGTATATTGTGACATGTTGGGAATTATTTATCAGGTACTATAAACATAAAGGGGGGAATTTATCAAAACTGGAGCAGACAAAATGTGGAGCAGATTTGCACTGCGACCAATCAGCTTCTCTCTTTCTCATTTTTAAATCTTACCTGAGCAAACTGAAGAGAGATGCTGATTGGTTGCCAGGGGCAACTGCTCCAGATTCTTCTGCTCCAGTTTTGATAAATTCCCCCCAAAGTATGGAAACACAGTCATAAATATAACGTCTTTTTCCTTTGGCGGAATCCAAATGCTGCAAAGAGCAGCATGATGTAATGACGTTGCACCACCCTCTCCAGCATTCTCCTGTGACTTCAGAAGGGGGGTGGAGCCATGACATCCTGGTCTCACAGGAAGTGGGATAAATCATGCTGGGCATCATTCAACCTAGAAGAGGTCCAGCATCGGTGCGTGGGTGGGTCTGAGAGGGAGTGCCACTGCTGAGGATTTCTTTTTCTAAGCTGAACTTTGGTTTAAAATTATCCTGCCTCACCCACCCCCGAATGCAGCACCCCCCTGCAAAGTCAAAAGCTGCCCATACACCTATAGATTTTCTACAGATTTTCTATGATCAGATGGAAAAAGTGCAACAGATTCCTCCATCTATGCTACACTGGGGCTCTGCTGGCTGTCAAAATACCTGAACAATGCCTGCATCCAATCAGAGTGTTCAGGTATTTTGACAGCCAGCAGGGCTGACTAGCAAGATACAGAAGCTTGGCCCAGCGGGAGATTCCTCCATCCACACAGTTTAGAGTAGATAGAGGAATCTGTTGCACTTTTTCCATCTGACCACAGAAAATCTGCAGAAAATCTATAGCCAGCTAAATACTAACCCGTCCAGCTCCTGCCAGATCCACACTATGGGGCCCTTTTGAACTAGCTGACCGAACTCTAACGTCTTCTGCGTATGCGTGGATTAAAAAAAGCCAACCGCTGCCATTCAGCATACATCCCCCCACATGACTGTGACCAAGCTCAAGGCACACCTGTACTCCATCCACTCCTTCTCAGGTGCTGTTCCCCAAGGCTTGCTTCCAGCCCCACACACTTCAGCATCATCCAGAATGGCAGCCACACAAGTCCCAGTCCTGCATAGCTTTATTAGTCAAAGTTCGCAGTCCACACAGGTGGACATGTTGATGCATTTTATTTCCATGAGCTAATATGTAAAGTAGAGGCTCTCCAGAGCTGCTTATGCGGACTGGTAAAGTTAAAGGAGAACTATGAGGTGAGTGATTTACATAGTATTTGCACTCATCTTCATAGTTAGAGCCGACGTGTGACAATGAAACTGTCACATGTCGGCTCAATAGATCGGGAAGTGAGCGAACACATACCGTCGCTCGCTTACTTTCCGATCATCTCCCTGCAGTGAGCGGTGACTGTCAGCCACCGCTTCCCGCAGGGTTTTCCCCCTCCCCTCTCCGATCCTCCAGTGCTGACTGGAGGAACAGATGGGGAGGGGGCGGGCACAGCTGGCTCTGCCTCTAGATAGGCAGAGCCTGCTGTCAATCAGCCAGCTGGGTGGATCACGACTGTATTGTCGGGATCCGTCCCGGCTGCGGTGCTCTCAGTATATAGCAGGAAATAGCTTGCTAAAAACTGAGCTTTGGGTCACGGGAGGAGGTAAGTATATGTCCTCCTGTGACCCTTAAAAAAGACTTCTCTTTTAAGTGGGATCTTGGCTTGATGTGCGGCCACTATTCTTGTTGACTGTACAGGAACCCCCATAAAAGGGATCTCCTACTATCTTGATGACACATACCGCTGCCAAAAACATTTCCATGTGAAGATCATCTCGTACCTTAAGCAGAGGCATTGCAGACTTACAGCGCGCGGTCTTCACATTCTTCAGGAAATGGGATTCATCCTTGTAAGAAAACAAAAGGCAAAATCACTGTGAGGGTTTTCATTCACAGACATTGCTGTGTCTCCGTTACTCTAAAGATCTCCAGCGCCATGGCTGTCAAATCTCTGGAGGCCCTTGCTGATTGGATCAGCCAATCTGAACTATGATCGCTCCCCTTCTGCTGAGATCCTGTAACCCTAAGTAACTCCATATTTGATTATAAGGCCAGCACTGAAAGGAGCACACAGCGGCATATCCTCCAGGAAACTTAAAGCCGCACTCTACTCAGAAAAAAAAGGATTTTTGTAATCACTGTAAAATCCTTTTCCCTGTGTTCATTGAAGGACAGAGCACCCGCCCCTGTTGTGGGTGTATGGCGTTTGTTGTGGTTCTGTGTACTGCTTGCCACTAGCCGAGTGGGTTGTTGCAGACAGGGGGGGGGGGGGTTTGGCCACCAGAAGGGGGGCCGTTCCTGAGTTAGCTTTGTGTTTTTTTTGTATGCCTGGCCTCCTACTCCTGCACTTGGCTATATAACCCAATGGTTAAGCTATTCTGATGGCTGTGTCCTTCGATGAACGCAGAGAGAAGGATTTTACAGGTTGGCACAAAAATCCTATTTTTCTCTTCCGTTTATCGAGGGGCACAGCCATCAGAACAGCTTGACCATCGGGACGTTCCAAAGCAATGTCAAATACAGGGTGTAGGACATTAAAAAAACAAAACAAAAAAAAGAGAAAAAAACATGGGCCCAGCAAAAAAAAAAATGTAGGTTCTATCTCCTAAATGCGAAGCAAAAATCTGAGTGGGTAGTTGCAGATAGGGGATTTGGCCACCTGCAGGTGGCAATATAATCCAATGGTCAAGCTAGTCTAAGGCTGGGTTCACACCTAGGCGTATCGAATATGCGCATTTGTCGCGCGATTCGCGGTACAAAAAACGCATGTTTCCGAGGGCTACCTGGCTGTACCCCAATGGAAACGCGCGACAAAAACGCTCCAAAGAAGCTCCTGTACATCTTTGGGCGTAGGACGTTTTGTAGCGCGTTCATACGGCCTGTAATACGCCCAGGTGTGAACCATACCCATAAGAAATAATGGGATTTCGGTGTTTGAGCGTTTTGCAGAGCGTAGGAACGCGCTACAAAACACCCAGGTGTGAACTGGGCCTAATAGCTGTGTCCTTCAATGAACGTGAGAGAAAAAATACTCTTGCAGTGGGGCCCCCTCGTTTCTTGCTCCGGCAAACTTCCTCTATGCTGTGCGACTGGTCCCCAGAGGCCTCTTCTCCATGACCCCTGGCAGCCGGGGGAGCAATGGGTAAGGTAAGTATTACAGTGTTTTCCTTTATCCCCCTGGACCCCAATGTAAGAACACAGACAGATGTGCAGAGGTCGTACTGTGTTACCGGAAAACCGCTTGCCACCAGCACCAGCCAATCAAACTGTAGGCTCCGCCTCTTCACTACAGACACTTACGATGATAATCACTTTGAAGTTCGCAGTAATATGTTTGTCCATCTTCCCCAGAAGGTCGTAGCTGACGATATTGATGAGGCTGACTGATTGGCTGTCCCGTCCGGTCACGATGACATTGATGCTGTCTGCTCTGATAGACGGCAACCACCTGTGGAAAGCCTAATCACACAGATGGGACATATTAGAACACAAGCAGCAACGCAATGTTAATGAATTAGTGTGTGTGCCATGAGCGACGAATGAAGGAAAAGTGACGGCTGAGGGGAACCACACCAACGGCAGCATTCAAGTGAATGGGCTGCCTAACATGCTCCATTCCCACCAGGACATAAGAGAAAAGGAATCTTTCCAGCAGGGACACACATAGTAATAAAAACCTGACAGTGGTTATAACCCCTCAACATTCTGTCCAAAACTAAACACCTTGGGGCTGTGAGTCGCCCTGTACCTGAATGTTGCCCCTTTCTTTTCCTTGTAAGGGCCCAGGAGTTGTCATGTATCACTAGATTGTCCAAAACTAAAAATGTTTGGGGTTTAGATGCAGGGAAAAATCACACAACAATAAAACAGCCAATGCAGGTGGTGGTGATGGAGACAGCTTACCTCGGCCCAGGTGAATCTGACAGACGATGGAGCCACGACCAGCAGCGGCCACTCCTTCCTATAATAAGCCGCGATGCAGATGGCTTGTATCGTCTTCCCCAAGCCCATGTCATCAGCCAGGAGTAGGCGGCCTTCCCGGGAAATGGCAAAGCTGCAAGATCAGAGACGAGGATGAACTTGACATCACTTGAGGATGACACTGTCTGCATGGAGTTTGCATGCTCTCCCTGTGCTTGGTTTGGTTTCCTCCAACACTCCAAAGACATGCCAGAAGGTGAACTAGCTCCTGTCCAAGGGCCCAGTCACACCATCAAGAGTGCGTACCAGTGCGTTTGGCCTCTGGAATGCACAGGAACGCAACCCCGCCGGCTCACTTTGTTTTGGGGCCGGAGGGAGCGTGGCGGTGCATTGAACTCAATGCAAAAAATGCTGCATGCACTAGTTTTTGCAGATCGCACTGGACCGCAACGCAGGCATTCCATTGCATTCAATGCACCGCCCCACCCTCTCCCGCCCCAAAACAAAGTGAGCCGGCCGGGTTGCGTTCCAGAGGCTGAACGCACTCTTAATGGTGTGACTGGGCCCTAAATCGGCCCTGTATGCATGTGAGATAGATACCTTAGATTGTAACCTCCTCAAGGACAAGGACTGATGTGAATGTGCAGTATGTAAAACCTCAATGGCGGCACTGTATGACCTCAAGAGACATCTGCTGATAACATGCAGGGCGGGTAGATGCCGGCTATTGCTATGCACTTGTCATGAAAGTTTAGACCTGATATCATTTTCTAACATCCAGTCACTACCTGCTATGAATGATCAACTACCAATACATCAATACCAATCATCAGTAATCTGCTGCGCACCTCTCCACCTTGAATGGGTTCTTTATGCTGTTCCTGGGGCTTGTAGTTCACCAGCCACTAGTGTACCAGTGTTTGCCCATGCATGTTAAGTTTTACAGCCCGACACGTCCTCCCGACTTGTTTATGCATTAAATGGTCCTTTCCTCTTCCGGCTCATTTACCCTTTTGGCTGCAAACGTTTCTCCCGCGGTGCATTAAATCAATAGCTCCCCTGTATGATCAGGACTAATAACGCTGCATTTACATTGGCAGACGCAGCCCAGGCTGTGCGGAGAGGACACTCGCACTACAGCGAGCGGTGATCTATTAGCAGTTCTGGTCACAGCTCATAGACGCTACAGTTATGTGGGAGGCAGGAGAGAGGATAGTTCAGCACAATTGCAATGTTGAAATATATACTACGTGTTACTATACAGACCCCCCACCCTTCAATATTACCTCCAGGCACACAGCTGAAAGGGATGCATGACAGGGGTAGTCCATCAGGGGGTATTCA